AAAAATGGAGAAAAGGTACGTGACTAAGAGAATTTAAAAATTAATTCTTTCTTTCCCTGGGAGCCAGCGTAAACTCTTTCAAACTGGAGTGATGTGGGCCGACTTTTTTTTCTATAACAGTTAAGCCTTGCGGATGCAATTTGCAATCGTTGTAGTTTCTCTTGCTCGTGGGGTAGGGGAGGATAGGCCACGAAGGATGCTGTTTCAGTAAATCTGGAATACAGCTCAAGGAATCCGGAAACCAAGTTCCACGGACAAAGAATCTGAGACCTAGCACCTGGAATCCGGAATCCACGGCGTGGAATCCAGAATCCAATACTGTCTTGGATTCCCGTACATGGCGCGATATTTATTAATTGACACAGCTGTGGGTGACTGTCATACGAAATCTTTGCTAATGGCGACGTTTCGTTAAAATTCGTATTTAGAGGTGTATACTGCCCCCGAACCCTTGACTTATTATTTGCTTCGAAATTGTTCAAGTTGCCCTTTTCGGTTTGCGCATCAAAAGGTTCGGATCGGAATTCATGGTTTAAATATGGTCCTTCACTAGAAGTTTCAAAGAAGACACTTAAACATGTCTTGATAAGATAGCTTTTTTATTGAACATTACTGTATTCTCCCATCACCAACGAGCCCTGGAAACAAGACTCATAATATATTTGCATATAAACTGTGAGATCATCAATTTATTTTAGGTGCGCAGGTGCTGGTTTGAATAAAAATTAGCTGGCATTACGACCTTTTCATGTAAACTTAATAGTGGGCTACAAAAATTTAATGTTTATTTGTCTTTCTTTACTTTTACAGTTGACAAATAGCTATGATCCGGGCATCAGCGGACATAGACCTTCCAGAAATCCCCACGGGACAAGATAGAATCTGAGTCATCGTCATCACATAGCCACATGCCGACAAACCAGTGATGCTGATTTGGGATATAAGCCACGTAGTTTAATAGGCGCAGCTGTCCATTATCCCTTGAATGACCCCATTTTCCGCCATTTGCCCAATCAGCACAGCGTGAAGCTAGTTCGGAACTATCTCCTTCGAGGCGAACGTAAGAATTGCACGACGCTGGTAAGATGTTAATTTGAGTACTGAAGTAACTTACCACCGCTTCTCCTTTACCGTCGATAGTTGTTTTCACATGGAATGTCCTTCTGCCGTTTTTACTGCAATGAAATCGAAGCTCATTAAATCGCAAATGCGCTCTTAACTGATTCATTGCGTTCGCCTCGATCCCCATATGGTTGTTGTCATAGTGACTGATTCCTCGGTAAGTAGATTCGGCCTGCCAGCTTGGCAGGGAAGAAGGGTCTTCAATAACAAAGTTTGCAACCATAAGCCAACCACCTAAAATAATAATAATAATAAAAAAGGACATTACATTAATTATTATAAATTGTACTCACTTCCTGTCGTCTCATTAGCAAGAAGCCTACAGTTAAGTTTGGAAATTAACATATATCCTACAAGTTAGTTAGTTATGTGTTTGCAGATAATAAACAATTATTGGATGTGGTTTCTATGATATCTAGAATAATAAAGGTCGAGGTAAGTGTTATCAGCCGAGCCGAAAGCCGAGGCTGATAACACTTACCGAGACCTTGATTATTTACGATATAACCAAAACCCGAATCTAATAATTTTTTTTTATTATACAATGCATTGTTTTGAAGAAAATAACCACAAACACTCCCTCGCAAGGAACATAAACTGATGCAGCAGATAACTAACTAAACTGTAGGTTGTGCTGATTTCCAAAATTAGCCGTAGGCTTTTAGCCAAAGAGGAGGCAGATGGTGAGTTCAGTGTATAATACAGTCAAACCTCCTTAATACGGACATCAAAGGGACAGAACCCAGTGTCCGCTTCACAGAGGTGTCCGTATTATAGAGGTAGGGAATGCATGATTTTTGGCATTTCTGGGACCAAACGAACTGTCCGTAATACAGAGGTGTCCGTATTATAGAGGTGTCCGTTAGGAGAGGTTAGACTGTAATTGGACTTATCTGTAGGTTGCGCATGATTTTCATGAGCGATGTCAAAATACTTGTTCCGTGGGACGGTGTGTTTGCAGTTATTTTCTTCAAAACATCACATTCGGTTTTTGTAGTATACTGGATAATCAAGGAGTCATAACACTTACCGAAACCTTGGTTATTCGTTATTACGGATATCACAAAACCACAACCGTTTTTTTTTTTCGTATATACCAAGAACACAAACACACCCTTTCATAGCCACCTTTTCATAAAGACCACATTTTTCTGACATAAACGTAGTCATTTTCTTATCTGACACCACGCTAATAGATCGTTTTCACTGTCACGCAACAAAAAAATAAATTGGAAACCGTCCTGTGGAAGAAACCAAGAAAATGAAATGTTCTAAAAGACTAATATATAAACAATTTCGCCAAGTCTCAGGTCTTTGTGACCCACAGTTTCTGAGTTATTTGGCGAAACGTTTCACGCACCTTTGTAGAGCTTTGTATATGGAGACGCCATATTGGTGCACCGTTTCGGTGCACCAATATATATGGCCGCTGGAAATCAACAAAAACATCTGGAGTTTACTTTTTCTATGAAAACTCTTTCTTTTCACTCGAGAACTAGCGTGCGTTCGCATAAACATATCTTCTAATACTTGAAGTGGTTATATTGCTGAAAGTCAAGAGGAGAGACTTTTTTTTCAGCGAGACAGCATTCCTATTTTGGTGTCACGCACTGTGAAAACTCGAAGTTCAAATTGCTGTATTTTCGAAATGAAACATGCTACGGGAATGGAAACTTGTACAAAGATTTACTTTTTGTTTATCTTCAACCTGGTGTAAATAAGAATTCGTAAAACCTCGCTATTTCGACTTAACAATTTGATGACGTCACAGTGAAAACCATCTATACAACCACCCGTCAATAGGACCAGAAGTTCGTGGCTCAACAATGGTAGAATTAACGGCGTTCCACAAAAAAAAGGATACAAACAAACAAACAAACATCAACTGCAACAAAAACTGAGGCCAAAAAGAAGAACGGAAGCTTCACTAAAATAAAGGGGACAACGAGAAGACCTTATTCTCAATAATAAAATGGCGATTGTATTTTTGTGGGTGGAATAATGTGATTTAAAATGGGAAACAAATCGTGCTAATTATTCTATACTTTTTACCCAAAACTTCCATGAACATATATTTCTTTACCAAGTTTTGATGCTCTGGTCTAACCCTTTAGTCATCGAAGTCAAGAAAATATAGACTTTACAATAATAACAATAATGAAAAAAAAACAGAAAAGAACAAAACAATCAAACATAAATACCAACAAGTACTAGATAGGGTAAGGAAACAAATTATCACAGACCCACCTCCATCGGTGTTCATATCACAAAACACCTTAAATGGATTGTCATTCCCTTCTGGGTCGATCCAGTATTCTCCATTTCCCATTGAATCTCCTACCTCCAAAATATGTTGGCAAGACTTAGCAGCATTTACGGAAGATCCGAACATAGCTAAGATTGAACGCAAATATTAGGCAAAGAAAATGAAGACATCTAGTACTAGAAAGTTGGAGAAAAAAGAAAAACGTACCACGATCTGGATTCTCAGCGAAAATGAAGCTCTCGTCGAACTTCAGTTTTTCGGGTTTGGAACGCCGCGTTTGATTATTAAACTGGCAAATCTTGTCAGCAAGCTTGTAGTTCAAACTCTGGCAAGAAGGCTCGATATTACACGCGCTGTAACAGGCGGCGAGTCGAGGTACTGTAAACGACTTGTACACATGATCAAAAAGGACCAGGCCGTGCTCTGTGCGACTCGTGACTTTACACTGATGCCCGTGAGTTCGTAATATCGATACCAAGATGATAGCGACTTGGTTAAAATTCGACACCAGCTCCATCGAGCAAACTTTATAGATCTCAATTTGACTATAGTAAAATGAATAAGTGGTCGAAAGCTTGTGTCATTCAGATAGCCAAAGTAATACATTATTTATAACACTAGTAACATATCAATAGCTGTCTTAAATAAGACAAGCTCTCTGCAAACTCATTGAAGTACAACATTTAATTTAAATGAAGAGATGGACTTTTTCCAGCCCTGGACTTATTAATGTCAACCAACATTGTGCAATTACCAAAACAGTATAATTGATTACATTAATGACTAAATTGCACTTTAAGAGATTGAAGCGTAAGCTCGTTGGTAGTTAAAAATTGTCGTCCAACCCAAAGTAAAGCACTCAAAAATAAGGGCAGCAATTGATCTACCAACTAATGGATCAACACTGTTTAAATGAATATCATTTTGTCTACTTTTTGTAAAAAAAACAAAACAAATGTAAATAACATCTACAATGCATCTTCCTTTAAAATGGGGTGTAAGTTAAGTAAGTAGGGTTGACAACTGAGCATGAATTACTAGCAAAACATTGCGCTTATTATCCGTATTCTGTTAATTCCGTAGCAAAACATGCACCTGGCGTTTTCGACTTAGAATGGCGTATTTTATAAACAGACACAGCTAAGCCATTGACAAAGTACAACTGTTTAATTATTTGTGCATCTTCCTCAAGGTCAGTTTAATTTATTCGACAATGATGAAGAAAGGGACATCTATACAATAGGCATGCTGCCTACCTAATGAGCAAACATTTCAATACAAAGAATCGCGTATTCATTTATTTTTTGGTTTGCCTAATTGGGTTGCATTTATTTCGTTTCCTTTCGTTCTTCGTTTACCCCATAATTCAGGGGTCTCAACAAAAACAAACAAACAAACAAACAAACGGACAAAAAAAACAGAAATGAACAGATAAACAAGGAAAAAAAAAAAGAAGGATGAAGGAAGAGTAAGAGATAGGCAAGTCATCATGGACAGGAAAAAGCAATGAATCTGACTAAAAGGCTACCATGAACTTTAATTTAAATACATATATACATAGAAATTGGTTTTACATTCGCCTACCTTCACTTCACTTATGTCCCAACACAATATGTAACTAAGATATCAATTATAAAATTCTCTAGAAATATACCTGACAAGAATTGCATTTTTACGGACAGACTGCTATCCAGTCACGTTTCAAAACTAGTCTCTACGTGAAAGCTTCGATTTGAGAGAGTCCTGGGAATAGTCGCGCTGGTGTGACGTCGTCGTACCCGTGACTTTGGAAAACGCAGAAATAAAAGAGTTTCTTCCAACGTGGTGGCCTCGACCTGAGACTGTCTAACATCCGGTTGCACCACTAACACATATCGACTAAAAAGAGACAAAGCAAATAACGTCTGAACGTGGGTGCCGAGCTGTCAGGATCCCCCAAATTAAAATTTTTGAATGCAGGTGGTCGGGGGCGGGGAGCGGGAGGAAACCTTTCCATGCCTGTCTCCATACGCAGCTGTGCCTGTTAAAAGACTTAAGGGAGGAGGGGGGGACTTTTCCATACCTGCCCCCACACGCAGCTGCTACGCCGTTTAAAAGGTTCTCCGCTCGACTCTCCTCTATTGCCGACCATATTATCTACTTTTAAAAAAAGCACTTTATTTGAGTTTTAATGAATTTAGCACGAAAGCACTATTTGGGGACACTATTTTTAAGTCTCCTACAGGAGACGGAACCGCGACCGAGCCACGCGAAGGTCTAGTCATTTGCAGGGCAAAGCCAGTACCATCATTTCTCCGTCCTTTTAAGACCCTGAGTGTTGGTTCAGTCCCGGGAATTTAACCCGCGACCTACCGCTCTGCAGTCAAGCGCTCCACCAACTGAGATAATCCAGCCACAGTTAAACTTTTCATATTTTCTGGAGAACCCTGCTTTTATGTATCGTTTAAACGCAGTTGCGCTGGTGATGGCTGTAGGTTTAACGATCGGGAAACACTCTCAAGCCCTGAACACGAGGTTGGGAAACACATACCTGCATTTGCTCGGGATCGAGGCTGACGGAGGAGGCTTTGGCAAGACATTAGCAATATCAGACACGTGATGTTCACCTGATTTTAAGGTTTTAATATTTCGAGCAAGTGGAGTCATCCCCAGGCCACCTGATTGAGGGTTCAGTCTGAGACGATAAGGCTGTTCGTTTGTCAACTCTTGTTCTTTTATAAGTCGCGTTTGAGGCTGATCCCGCTGGGGGAGGGGTGAGGCAGTGCGTGTTGTAGCAGCAGGGGGTGGTGTAATGAATTCGATCACGCTCTCAGATTTAGACAACGTGTCTGGAAAGAAAGACGTAGGTGATTTCTTCAATGTTGGTTGAAAACAACTCAGAAAATGAACATCAAGAGTAAACTAAGACGTTCAACACATATAACTGCATCTTAATCTCGGCCCTCCTCCGAGCAGGTCGACTAAAACGTCAGCGGTCTCCACCCCCCTAACCCGCCTATCGCCCCTGCGCCCCCTACGGATAAGGGGGTGGAGAGGGCTGAAATTTCAGACTGCCAAGCATGTTGTCGAGTCGGAGTTTAAAGCCGGATTTTACTTTCGTGCGTTCATCTACTGTCTTCATCTGGTCCTAAATTACCACCCATCACATCCCTAGCCCGACAATTAAATCTTTAGTGCGTCACGACTGTTATTCAATATTGCATTATTTACTATATTTACTAAAACGTGTCTTCGAGCATTAGAATTCGTTCCAAAAATAATGACAACAGTTGAGTTATTTAAGTCTATATCAAGGCTTTGAAACTGTTTCCTGTTGTCTGCTATTACAGATGACAGGGATGGGCTTGAAATGAAACTTGTAAAAACTAGGCCAGTTTTTTTTTTTTTTTTTTTTTTTTTTTTTTTTTTTTTTTTTTTTTTTTTTTTTTTTTTTTTTTTTTTTTT